CACGAAGTAAAAAATATTTCTAAAATATTATATTTTCATTTATACAGGGTGTTCGGTTTTCCTTGGGACGATACCAACTTTCTTATTTTCAATGGAACACCCTGTATTTTTTTGCATTTTTGGATTCTACCCACTCTTTTAGGTATACTTTGTAAATATATTAATTAAGAAAATGTTAATACTTTTTGAGTAAAATTAAGATTTATTAAAATTTCTCTAAATGTAGACACTCGCTAAAAGTTAAAAATAATCAACTAAAAGTTATTATTTTTTATATTATGTAGTATCCATCTCTTTAATAATAAGTAAGCTATAAGTTAATTATTATATTTTTTGGAAAATATCATACAGGGTGTTTTCTATGTCCCGTTGAAAATAGCGATTTTAAAAGTTTAAAATCTTGTTTTTTTTCAATGGAACACCCTATATATTTTTGCATAATTGGATAGAATAAGTAATTACCTTTTTTTTTATATATATATGTCCTATACCTAAACCTAACAGAAAAAAAAATATTCGCATTTTTCACAATTAGTAGCTTTTTTCCAATTTTTTTCCTACCTTAGTTAAATTTTCATTATTCAAAGAAAACACCCTGTATAATATTTTCCAAAAAATAAATTAATTAACTTATAGCTTACTTATTATTAAAGAGATGAAAGCTACATAATATAAAAAATAATAACTTTTAGTTGGTTATTTTTAACTTTTAGCGAATGTCTACATTTATTTTTAACTTTTAGCGAGTGTCTACATTTAGAGAAATTTTAATAAATTTTAATTTTATTCAAAAAGTATTAACATTTTCTTATTTAATATATTTACAAAATATACCTAAAAGAGTGGAAAGAATCCAAAAATGCAAAAAAATACAGGGTGTTCCATTGAAAATAGGAAAGTTGGTATCGTCCCAAGGAAAACCGAGCACCCTGTATAAATGAAAATATAATATTTTAAAAATATTTTTTACTTCGTGAATATTTGTTCCTTACAAATTTTTTGTGACTCCAGTAGTTTCTGAGATAAGTATATGGGTCACCTTACGTGGACCACCCTGTACATAAATACACATTTAATTTTTTCCCGTATTTTCGGCCGGGTTGTATTTTCGGCCGGGTTGTATTTTCGGCCGAGGTAGTAAGAAAAATAGTATACACTACACGGGCAGAAAGTGTGAGAGCCCTGAACTGCGCGCCATGATGCAGGAATCTCACACTTTCTGCCCTTGTAGTGTAATATACTATTTTTGTCAAACGTATTGTTAGTATTTCAAAGCTCCATAATTTCTAAACGATTTTTAAAAATTAAGCAGCAATGTATAGGAAATGAAAAGCTCTTTTTAAAGAGGTATAACGACCCCACTTAGGGGATTGAAGATTTTGCTTTACTTTTTGAGTCAAAAGTCCCCCTGAAAAACAAACTTGACATGTTTTTGGATTTTGCCGAAAAGTTTTTGTCCAGCCTGTAATGCCTTGCGGTACGTTTTCGATGGGCCACCCTGTATAATATTTTTATTATGTAGGTACCTACTTAAAATAATTTGTTCTACTTCCACCTTTAAAACGCCCTTTATCGTACATGTTTCCATGACATTAAGTGACCTTTTAAATACACATTGACATGTTGTGGCTTTATGTCCCTTTAGTCACGGGCTGAAGTTAGTTTTAAGTTAGTTGACAGTTGTCAAATGTCATACAATCGTTAAAATAAATTGCCTTTTTTGTAAAATAATACTAAATGTAAAAATTATTTTATTTTCTCAATACAAAAATACAAAAGTATTAAATAGTTTCTCAACGCCAATATTTATATGAACATTGTACTGAACTTAAATTCGGGCACGAACTCCATTGTAAAGTCCTCATAAAACATTTTCTTTACTTTCACTGTGAAAAACTGTCAATTTTCAAGAAATACATTTCGATTTATAACCTTTATGATCTGTATTTATAAAATAAAAAAATTTGACATTTGACGGTGACACACAGATTCCCCTATTGTTTCATAGAGGGCGCTCTATACAAATTTTTGATTTAAATAATTTTAAAATAATAATAAGTATTTGTCGTAGAAAAAGTATAGTATGCACCTCGTTTATAAACTTTTCTATACACTTATTAATTTAAGAAATTCAGGTATAAAATTGCGTTTATCAAACTTGATACATATACTATTATCTACAGTGAAATCTTTCTGGTTATTTGTTACCTTTGACCCAATTAATATTAAAATAATAAAACTTTTGTATCCCTTTATTTAATTAAAATAAAATTGTACCCATCAAATATAGTTTTCATTCTACATCTATTTTATAGGCATTTAAACATTAGTTGTTTTATCTTAGTTAATATGCACATTTTATGTGGTTTGTTATAACAACAAATTCTTCTTCAAGATAATTTTTATCAGTAGTAACAGTAATAATTATGAAATACATTTTTCCACAAATTGTTCAGGTATAGATAATTAGGTATACCCACAGAACATGGGTATCTACATATATCTAACAGCCGTTAAATTATGACCTTGCATTATTAATACATGGTGTAAACATTTTTCTAAGGTAAATATTACCTATAATTGAGATGATTTAACAATGATTTGTATGCAGGAATAAAAATGATTAATTAACATTTATTTAAAATGACCAATATCATTGAGTGAAGAGTTAATACCTAATTGTGTAACTTCTCAATGGTTAAAAAGTTAAAAATAACATAGTTATCTAGCGTTGATTAAATAATAATATAATTTTTTAGTTTGATTTGCCAAAAATGTTGTTTGGAAGTTGTAGGAACCTACCTACTGTTATTTTTCTAGTTTTAACAGACAAAATTAAATTTAAGTAATTTACCAAATTAATTCAAGAATCTTTGCATATTTATGCCCTTGTATACAAGGCAAGGTTTAAACCTTCTCCTATTTGTTCCATTGCAAAACATTAATTAAGGTGAACTTTAACAAAAAAAACTTATAATCTAATTAATAAAAAAAATGATCAAGCTACATACCGAAAACAAATCACCATTAATTTAAAAACCACTGTCAAACATCAAAGCACGTGAGTGTGTATAACATAAGTATGACACAATACGAGCGCACAAAACAAACGAGTAACGAACGAACTTTCAACTAAATTTACTCGACTGAAATTAGATCGACGAAGTAAACATTTTACATCCAACCAACTTTATCGCCAATTTGAATGTCACCACCGAAGGCGCGCTTAGAATAGACAACTAAAACATGTGAGCGCTAATAATAATGGAAAAATTAAAGCGTTTGTCTAGGTTTTACGGTACGGTCAACTAGGGCTATAAAATATATATGTATACTATACTACGGCCTTTTGATTGTCATCGCCCCAAACAAAACACTGCTGCGTGGATTTAACACGCGATATTTTAAAAATGCACTATGGGTTAAAACAAGAAATAAATACTTGGTGGAGTTTCTTGAAATTTGGGACTTTATTCTCTATATAAAGTGGTTTATATCGATTTATTGTTATTTTTTCTTGTTTTGTTACTATTGTCTTACTAATGTTACTATTGCACTTTGTTTATTTTAATTTTTTACCAGTGTTAAGCGAAAAGTGCATCACTTAATGTTTTTAAAGGTACCTGTTGGTTAGTTAGTTGGTGTTGCAAATTATGTATAAGGTCATGCAGTTAACTATGAATACTTATTAGATTTTGCAAATGGCCCTTTCCTCCCTTGGTAAGCCTCTTTTGCTTGTCTCGTGAAGAGCATCCAGTTGACAGGTGGTTAAACCGCCCGGTATACCGGCTTATAAGCTGTCGCTTCTCATTTTACCTTCCTTGACCGTATACCATATGTTATAGTTTATAGCACTTTATGAGCTCATAAAGTGCTATAAACTATAACATATGGTATACTAGTAATTATTTGTGGGTTTTGACTTGTATGTTTTAAGCGAGTTCACGTACGATACGACCTACTTCGTCAAGAGTTCAAACGTGAAAACAAATCCCTATATATATTTAATAAATTCCAAATTTAATTATTTGAACATCAAATTTGATCAAACAAATTACCTAAAATAAAGTTAACAAAGTTGATTAAGTTTCTGTCAGAAAAGACAAAAAAAAACACAACTTTTTATTTTTTTAACGTCATACAAAAAATTTGTATAATATTTTTATTCAAATAAAGGTAATTAAAATAGAGAAAATAAACTTTAATTTTTAAACCATTTTTATAACTTGAGAACTATTTGTCTTTTTTTATAAAAAATAATATTTTTTACCACTAAAAATAAAATATATACATATAAATAATATTTTATAATACTTTTAATAATGTTTTTTTATTGTTTTCGAAACTGTTTGGGATAAAATAATAAAATTTCGTTTGCTCACTAAACTTTATATGCTGAATTTAAAAATAACAAAAAATTATTATATTTTTATTAACAAGTGTATTAAACTACTGCAGTAGTGGCCTGAAGTATCTTAAGCCTCAAATTTTTTGTTTGCAAGTTGGCTAAGGAATATAAAAATTTAGAATTTTCTACGTTAAAAAGGTACTCTTGTTAAACATCGATAAAATGCACCATTTTCGAATAATTATCAAAAACTGCAATAAGCCATTTTAAATACTAACATTAATAAAGTTACTCAGTTCACAAAAAAATCATCCGCTAGGTATCTGCCCACAGTGCGTGGGCCGCAGAACATAAGAATCTGCCTTATTTTTTTAATTTAATTATTGAATTTGATATCCTTGACACCAAAAATACTAAATCACGAGTATGCACAGCATATTATGTATACCAATATTTTTTAATGTGCTTATCCCATAGTGCAATAGTGCATTGCGCATTGAACCTATGCAACCCAGTTAACAACCATTTATTAGTTTAATATTTAATATTGTAGATACTTAATATCATAAAAACAATTACAATAGTTACAATAATATAAATAGCCTACTTAAGTAAATTTACTTTATACAAAACAGGATCTAGTAAATATGAACATAACCCCAAATATTTTGCTAACATGGAAAGGTTGATTAAGGTTTGGCATGTGGGTAAAATAGACTACGCAAAGGCTTTAAAATTACAGAAATATTTAGCTAAATTACACAATGGCAACACCCATGTTAACAACACCTTATTGTGTCTTGAACATCCACCTGTGTTTACAACAGGAATCCGGACCAAGCAGTATACTTTGGAGGAGGAAAATCGATTGAAAAACACAGGTAAGCACTGTTTGTTTATTTATAAGGCTAAATATCACTTAATACTTACCTGTGAGTAAATAATTTAGCTCACATGTTGTTGATTGTTTAATACGTATTAACCAAAGATTTAGGCGGGAATTTTGTGTTTTTGCTGAAAAGTGTTGCCAGATGAAGGACTATTTTAAAGAGAGACTATAGTCAGGGCCTAGGTCACGGCCAAATCTGTATGGGTGCACGTCATCAACGGCATATGACGTCATCGTTAAGGTCTATTCATACGTGCCCAGGCACAATCCAATGCTCTTGTATTGTTGACTATTTATAGCGGTGGGCCTGTTGATTAAGATGAAATTATAACATCATAATAATCTTCTACACTAACTAATTAGCAGTTTGTTACCGGAAAATTTGTGTTTAGAGAGGAACAAACGGAGTTTATTACATTTTTATTGCATATGTACTATGCTCCACACTTCAAAGTCCCACCACGTGACCACGTACGGAACGCAGTCTTTTGATAATTTGTCATTTAAGGCTTTTCAGGTTATGTATCTGTCAAAGTATAGTCAATGACAACCTTCTTTATCTCTGGTCAATGAAAGAAATAATATTTATACTGTTACCGTTTATGTTTAAGCGTTAAAAGTTTATAAATCTTTATAGTATCACAGTAACAATGGTTGGTTTAAGAGTTTAGGAGTATAAATACTGCATTTAATGAAATTCTAAAGTGTATAGTGCCAAATAAGTAAAATTTTTGTGCATTTGGTTTACATAATATGTTAATATATTATATCTGGTTTTATCCATAAAATAGTTTTAACTAAACGGCATTTATTAAAAAAATCTAGCTTCTCTATTATGGAATAAGAATATCTGTATCAAAGGTAGGTTAATATATTATACCAAAAAATATCATCTAATTTTGAAATTTTAAGGTTAGAAAAATCTATTTTGATCAAAATAAATAAGTATTTTGGATTATTTGGAAGAGTGTGTTAATATGGTCATATAAATATAGATATACTTAATAGTTTTTGAATATGGTTCAAATTAAATTAAAGCTTTTATACTCCTTACAACAAAACTTGTGCTTGGGATCCCTACTTTAAGTTAGATTATAAGGAAACAAACAATTATTAGAGATACATGCAATGTAAAAATATTTAATACTCTGGATGTTAAATAAATAAATAAATAAATAACATGTGATTTTTGAAATTTTTACAATGTTTAATATTGCTTTACTCCGGCATAAATATTTTCAACTGTAAAACTTAACTATTTTAAGATTTTTCAAATTAATTAAATATTAAAAGGGGTTTATTTTAAAGAAGGAATCTAAAAACAACACCTTAAAATTATTAAAATTTGCAAATTTCAAATATAAAACCATTAGATACTTAATTTTAAAAAACTGTAAATTCAATAGGTAACCTTTCTAAAGTTCCTTACACTGTCAGCTAATATACCCATAGTGTCAATACAAGTACCTATAAAAGCTTCGACAAAATTTTATCTACATTGAACAATCATTAGGTATAAATTATTATAACCTTATAAATTTTAAAATTTAAATAAAACCACAGTATACTCTATCTAATATTTTTACTTGTAGTAGTCTTTCTTATCCAGCTTAAAGTATACCTACATAAAGTTTTGTCAATACAATTACGTATAAAGCTTTAACTGAATTTTATCTTCATCGAAAAATCATTATAACTTTTAAGAATTTCAAAAGTTACATGTTATGGGAGTATTAAATATTTTTACATTGCATGTATCTCTAAAAATTGTTTGTTTCCTTATAATCTAACTTAAATCATTCCCGAGAGGTATGCACAAGTTTTGTTGTTACGAGTATAAAAGCTTTACTTAATTTAATTTGAACCATATTCAACAATTATTTAGTGTATCTATATTTATATGACCATATTTACACACTCTTCCAAATAATCCAAATTACTTATTTATTTTGATCAAAATAGATTTTTCTAACCTTAAAATTTCAAAATTAGATGATATTTTTTGTTATAATATATTAACCTACCTTTGATACAGATATTCTTATTCCATAATAGAGAAGCTAGATTTTTTTAATAAATGCCGTTTAGCTAAAACTATTTTATGGCTAAAACCAGATATAATATATTAACATAGGTATTATGTAGACCAAATGCACAAAAATTTTACTTATTTGGCACTATACACTTTAGAATTTCATTAAATGCAGTATTTATACTCCTAAACTCTTAAACCAACCATTGTTACTGTGATACTATAAAGATTTATAAACTTTTAACGCCTAAACATAAACGGTAACAGTATAAATATTATTTCTTTCATTGACTGCGCCGGTTAGCCGGCCCCCACCTACTTTCGGCCACTTTGGCGTTAGAATCTACATAATAGTAATATTTTTCATATTTTTCTCAAATAAAAAACGTTCCCCTTTTCGGCCATGTCTTTGCCTACATCCACGACAATTTTAATGTGGCAGTGGCAAAAATTGGAACTAATATTTATTTTTTAAAATGGACGCTAAAGTGCAACAGTGAACAAGTTGTTAAGTTGAGAAGAAATTATACTGGAAACTTCGCCGGAAAATAGTAAGTAGCTTGTTTTCCATTAAAACTATTATATATTTTACTGAATAGGCATAAGTAGGATATGTTTAGCTATTGTTTAATATAGTATAAAGTGAATTTATTGCAAAAAATACTGTCTTGATTAGCTGGCCGGTGAACCGGGCGCAAAAAATGCATGTTTCCCTTTCTCGGCCAGGGTGGCCGAAAACCGGGAAAATATTGCCATGTAATGATGTCTTTCTCTGTTATTATAGATCTTATATACCTGTCCCATTTTGTTACACTGATTATTCAGACCGTATACAGAATCTAATTGCCGGTTTTCGGCCACTTTTTTCTTAAATGGGCGCGAAATATGAATATACGTATTTAAGGTGGCCGAAAACGGGAAGAATGATACCAGTTTTCGTCCTCTCGCCTAAACTCTATGTAAATAGAGGGCTTTTTCGTCTACATGTGTGGTTCTTTATTTTTCAGATGGCTGGAGAAAGGAAACACGAGAAAGTAAGGAAGCAACCTCTCAAGAAATTAAATAAGAGACAATTTTTCTCATATTCTGTTGAAGCTGTAAGATTAGCGCTTTGTGCAATAAGAGAAAACAACATAAGTGTAAGGGAAGCAAGTCGTCAATTTGGAGTACCCAGAACAACCATTCAAGACAGATTAAAAGGAAGAACTTCGGAAAATATTATAAGAAAAACAGGACCGCCTCCAATCATGACAAGAGAAGGAGAGAAAAGAATTGCAAACTGGTTGGTAGATATCGCTAAATGTGGTTTCCCTATAAAGAAGAATGAACTAATTGATACAGTAGCAAAAATTGCTAAAGATTCGGGAAAACTACATTTGTTCAAAAACCAGAGGCCTGGTCAAAAATGGTATTTAAATTTTCTCAAAAGGCATCCTGAAGTTTCTCTCAGAGAGGCAGAGAGTATTAATAAAGCCCGCGCCCTGGTCACGGAAGAGTCAATTAGAAAGTGGTTTAAAGAACTTCAGTCTTACATTAAAGATAATAATTTCGAGAAGGTTTTGAAAGACCCGAAAAGAATCTTCAATGGGGATGAGTCAGGCTTTTGTCTTTGTCCTAAAACAGGAAAAGTTTTAGCCCCGAAGGGTTGGAAAAACTTATATACTGTTTCAAGCGGAAAGGAGAAAGAGAACATAACTGTATTTTTAATTTTTAATGCTGACGGGAAAGTGTGTCCACCCTTTGTAGTGTTCCCATACGTTCGACCTCCCCGAGCATTGGTTCAAAGTATGCCACCCACATGGATTTTTGGGAAGTCCGATAAAGGCTGGATGATGTCAGAAACGTTTTTTGAATACATTTCAAATGACTTTGATAAATGGCTCATAAGGGAAAAAATCCCAAAACCCGTTATTGTTTTTCTTGACGGCCACAAGAGTCATATGTCACTTTCACTTAGTGAATTCTGTGCTGCTAATGGAATCATTCTTTATGCACTTCCCCCAAACACTACCCATATGCTTCAACCTGCGGATGTAAGCGTCTTCAAACCTCTCAAACAGGAGTGGAAAACCACTGTCAGGAAATGGCAAAGTTTGCCAGAGAATGTTAACTCCTCTGTAACAAAACTAAATTTCTGCAATCTCTTTGAAAAAACCTTGCAGGGGACCAATACCACAAGCCAAATAATAAAAGGATTTCGTAAATGCGGGTTGTATCCCCTTAATCCAGAAAACGTTGATTACACAAAATGCGTGAAAAACACTTTAGAGGAAAAATTGGGGAATCCTCTTCTTGAAAATGAAAAGTCTGTTGATACCAATCCAACCGATTTAGATATTGCGGAAAACGTCATAAAAAAAATTGAAGTAAAGTTGTATGGTTACGGCATTAATGCTCAAGTCATTTACAATGAAATAAACGAGTTGAGACAAAGAGAATCGGAAATTACAGTTGGAACAGTCGTTCCTTTGGACGCTTTAACAGTGCTTCCCATCAAGGAAGTCATTTTCTGTAACTCTGATAAATCACAGAAAGTGATGGAACTAGATGACGATATTCAGGATGATACTTTACAGGATACAGCACTATTAGACCGGGTTTTGAAACTAGGGACCTGTGTTCAGGATGATTTGTTACAGGATCTAGCACTATCAAACCAGGATTATGAAGTTCAGACTGATTATATGACTGAGGAACCAGATTGGACTAACGTAAACGAAAACACGGAAATGGCATTTAATGGCGAATCGAAAGGAGAAACAAGAGAAGAATGTGATAACAAGCCAACAGATGGAATTGATGAACAGAAAGATGATAGAGACAAAGGGATATCTGAAGACCGCGTTAAAAAATCAGTAATTACCGAAGATGAGGCTGGAGAAACTAGAGATGAAATAACAAATCAAGGGCGTACAGTTCTTAAGACGCTTCTTCCGGTGAATAGAGTATTTAAAAACAAA